AGCCTTACTCCAATTACTTATGAACCGCTAAATTGTAATTTTTCATCAGTTTTCAGTTTTTTAGACCGATTTTCAATTTTTTGTTTGAGTTGGTTATTTTTTAAATACCTTTCAGAACCATTGTGCTTTTCGGAAGTGCTTACATACTATCGTAGTACAAACAAGTGTACCTCTTGTTTTGTTTAACAGATGAGTTTCTTGGAATTTTAAGTCTAACTCGTTGCTACAAAAGAATTGAGTTCAATTAGTTCCAACTTTCGAACAATCCACTTTTCATGCTTGATACGCTTCCAGAGTAATTCACACTAACCCGTTTCAGTATGTTTCTTGCCGGTAAGTGAAACATAATGGCATTCGTTCCACGTTACTGCTTCTTTCCAATTAACACAAATTATTATAATCGAAAAATGATTTGACCTGTAACAGTCAACAACATGAAGCTGCAAATGCAACGAATTTGCTAATATAAGCAATGGTTGTCCACCATAAACTTTCGGCTGTGTACTAGCATCTGAAAAAGCTTTCATCTCATTATTGACATTAATTTGGAAGTCTCGTCGGAACACGTTTGAATTTTGCGTCTGTGGATGCAGTCAATCAGTCTTGTATACTCAGATGAATTGACTCTCACCTCACCCTCTTATTTTCCTTTCTTCATCTCATCATGATGGAAGATTCGCTGCATTAAAAAGTTCTGCTCCGAGATATGGGGTATGATCACCTGACTAAGTTAATAGCTGATATATGGTATCGAGTTTTAAGCCTATCAGAGTGAGTTTAGGTTTAATTTGGAGGGTATCATATTCATATCGTTCTTCCTTGTCTCGTTACTCTAATTCCATCTGATGTATGTTACCCTCGTAAAATGTTATGCTTTTCATTGTCTACAGTTATGACTTGTGATAAAACCGTATGGCGGTGCAGTTGGGATCCAAAAATCCTAATATTTTTCTTGTACATTATTTTTAGGTGTAGGATCGTGATCCGCAAAAGGTAAAGGGCAAATATTATGACAAAAAGGTGGGGGAAAAAATTCGGGGCCGAGTATAACGCAAGTACAGAATCCCCTCACAGGTGGCTGGCATGTGATTGAACGGAAGAGCGGATGAAAACACTCGACCCGTTTTACCTCGAGCGCAAAGAGAATCCTGTTAAGGATCGAGTTACCTATGCGAGATGTTCTGTGTATGATTTTCCTCGAAACAAATGGTGGCCACTATGTTGGGTCAATAACATTAACCCTCCTCCTGGTAAATATCTTTCAACAAATTCATTTTCGATTTTGGTTTGAACTCATCTCATCTCTTTTCTTGACTTTCGCAGCTGCCATTCCTCAACATGTTGAGCAAACTCCTAATTGGGAGAGTGACGATGACGGGGAT